GGGGGGGGGGGGGCATCGTTAATGACGTAACTATGCGAATCTGCATACACGATGAAGCTGCACAATAAATCGCTTAATAGCAAAGTTAGACGAACTTTATACGCATTTTAAGCGTTTATTAACGCATTTCCAAGTGAATAGATATATTTACTGGGCTGTCTATAATCCAACCATTAAAAAGTCAAAAAAAATTTAGCCAACCTCAAATATCAATTAAAAAATAAATACCCACCCCTAAACGTTACAAAAGGATACCATTCAGTTGTCACATATGCCTTTACCGTTTCTGTCATATGGGTTTGACAACTGCTAGCGCTTGTTCAATTTTCTGTAGTCTCATCTTGTCTGCACATGTACTTTCTTTGGAAATACCATTTGCCTCCTGACAAATTGGAAAATGATCAAGATTGTGACTCTGATTGATTTATATATTGTATTGACATATGCATATGACTGTTGACATTGCATGCTTTTCAATCTTCAATATTTGAATACACTTTAGAATACCCAACCTTTTACTCACTCAAAATTTTGTTTACCCAACCCTTTTCTCTTCGATGCCATAAATAATGACCAGTCCCTAGAAAGTCCCTTATAACAGCTCTGTTAAATTTTAATTATGATTTACATTTTTCACAGAAAGATGTTTAATCACTTGGCATTAACTCTAGTTCTAGCAGGTAAACTGTCAAGATTGCCTGGACTAGTAAAGGTTTTCTGCCTTTTAGTTTAGGTGAACTAAGCTAGCTTCATACCTCAAACACGTCATGTGCCGAGTCACATGAATATAGTTGCACTTGAAACGTGCCTAATATACATTTCGACTTTTATTGTTTAGGATTGATTGCTGTGACGACGGCACAGTCAAAAGGACAGCGCAAACCATCGCGATCGTGTAAAAATGGTGGAGTGATTGTTGGCCAGAAACTTTCTCCAAATTGCCGTTGCAGCTCCGGCTTCAAGGGGAATGACTGCAGTCAGAGAGGCAAGCGGTTTAATTGAGATACCAGAGATCAATGATGTCAATGATAGAATGAATGAATGATTGAGTACTGAGTATTGAGTATTGGTCCATAAAAGAACTGTGGCGTGCTGACAAGGGGCAGAGGGCCATGCCCCCATGGGTCACAGTATCGAGTGACTTTATTTTTGTCTCTAGTGACTCCTTGTGAAGCAAGTCCTTGTAGAAATGGAGGAACATGTTCAGAAAACAGAGATGGAACATTTACATGTAATTGTATAGCTTCATACAATGGCATCCTGTGTGAACATCGAAGTGAGTTACTCATTTGCTATAATTAAGTTTTCTCTCTAACACTGAGACCTGGTGCATGAACTTAAAATGAAACTGTTTACATATAAGACCTGATTAGGTCTGTACATGCTGGGATCTGAGTTTCAGGCGTGCAGCATCTTTTAGTTGGTATGAAAGTATAGTTTCAGGTTAGTGGTCTAATATAGACTTATAGGTTAGTTTCAGGTCAGTCCAAACCATTTCAGTCCTCATGCAAGACAAACAGCTTTAGGTGGGCTTTTAGTCTAGTATAAGTTTCTATATTTACGAAGCCGATTAGGACCATAACAGAATATTTTCCTTCAAGTTCGACCATGTGACAGTGGACCCTGTAAAAATGGAGGCAAGTGTACTGATGATGGAATAAAATGTTTCGAATGTGAATGTCTTTCCGGTTTCAAAGGACCCGACTGTTCCAAAATTGGTAAGGCTCAGCAGGGACCATGCAGCAATTTTGCGACTGGGGGTGAGACTGGTGTTGAGATGAAGTAACCTTCCTAGGAGGTCTAGGGCACCTCTCCCCCCCGAACATTTTAAAACTACAAGCCCAGAAAGTGAATTTCCAGCTATTTCCCACAGTAATTTTGTTTAAAGTAACCAATGTGAAACACATATGTTTAAATAAAAACTTGGTGAAAATTTTTGCCCATGATTATCGTATTGTAAAAGACTGACTAAGTCCAGTGTCACTTGGCTTTGAAAATTACGTACATGCAAACTACGACACTGCAGAAGCCCAAAACACTTTCACCTTTCAAAACTGTTGGTTAAACCAATGGCAGTTTTACGTAAGAATGGAGAAATATATTTCAACCTTGATATTATAGCCAGCTGAGTACGCAACTTTTTGGTATTTATTATAATGTACCAATTTCCCAAACCAAGTACGAAAGGGCACATCAGTATCATAAATATTAACGTTGGGCTGAAGCCCCCCCCCCTGCCTATACGTGGTCCCTGCTAGTTAGAGGAGGGGGTGTACCAGCATACCTATATGTTCGGACAGTTCGGTTATGTTGGTTGGATACCAATATATTTAAAACTTCTGTCCATGTTAAAAACTGTAACCCCCAGTTGTAAAGAAAACCTCCAGTTTGAAAGGATCATGATTGCTATAGGAAGTTTCATTGATGACCATTTTGAAAATTAAAACTTTCACATTAATTTTTACAAATTCGTCGAAACACATGCTGTACGTACTGTGTAAAAGAAGCACTGAAAAAAACAAATCAGTAATGCTAATTTATGCAGATACAGACGAAATTGAAAGGTCATAATTCAGAACAGCGCTATTAATATTATATAGTAGCCTATATAGGCCTAATGCTGTATAGTATAATCATATAAAGAGATAATTCCTAAGTGCGCTCTTGTTTTGAATATTATTAGTTCAACCATGTGAAACTAAACCTTGTAATAACAATGGTGTTTGTGAGAATAAAAAAGGAGGAAAATTCACATGCAAGTGTAAGAAAGGATTTGGAGGAACATTGTGCGATACGAGAGGTAGGTCATTTTGTCGTGTGTGTTGAAGATTACCACAAACTGACACAAACTAACACATATTTTTACCCAGTCTCCACTCGAAATCTGACGTCCTTGTTGACAAGATAGTCGTTCGCTTAAACCCATCCACTCATTATCCAACGATCAAAATGCTTTATTCTTCCAGAATTAGCTATTTGAGTACACATGAAACAAGTAAACAACTACAATTCAAGGCTGATTTATTGAAGTAATCCTACTGTATGCATGCACAAGTTATAGCCATTTACGAAAATTCGGTGTTGGGCCATTCTTATAAATAAAAACATATTATAAATAAAAAAAACACCTGAAAATGGATCAGAAGATAATCTAAAGTAGCATTTAAGTAATATTTTAAAACAAAGACGAAATTTCACATCGAATTGAGTTTACTGATTAATATCTTGAATTTACAAGATGACGTTCATGCATTATTCGTTACAGACGGTCTATATACCTCAAAAATTTTAAATCAGCAGCAAAACTACATTGTTCAGTTAGAGAAATGGCTTGGTGGCATAACGTCGTGGAAGTTGTGTTACAGTGCTACGGATAATGTTAATGGTTGGTTAGCATCTACCTTCCATCGGCTGTGTGATTATAAAAATCCTACTGTCACCATCATCCGTTCTGGATCCTACATCTTTGGCGCATACAGCGATGTTGCTTTTGGAGGTTAGTTTATACTTAATATTTACTCCAATGAAAACGGTGAAAAACCTTTCAGTCAATTAACCAATTTTAATTATGATAGCATAATTTTGTAAATTCTGAACGCTGATTGGCTAAGAGCCGTGTTGATGTAACTCAATGTTTATACGGAAAATTTCTTTCTTTATATTTCTTTGTGCTATATTATAAAGTAAGTATAAAACATTTTTCCGTATTGACATACAGTTATATCAACACTTGTGGAAATTGGGAAAACTCGAAATTGTGTGAAAACACTCCGCCCTTCGGGCGTCGTGTTTCCACACAATTTCTCGTTTTCCCAATTCCCACTCGTGTTCAGATATAACTGTATATCAACACGAAAAATGTTTTATATTTGTTAAATATTAAATTCCTAACTCGAAAAGATAACACTCACTCAGTCTGAATGAGAGCTCAGTATTTCAGCGCGGTCTATCAATATCCCATAAACTGCATGTCTTATAAGATTTATTAGCATTCTTTCTCTCTCTATATATATACCGGGTGTCCCCCACGTACACTGTTTGATTTCATGTGACGTAAAAGCTATAAAAGCTATTGCAATAAAATAAAGATCACTGCAGTCAGAAAGGACTAACTTAGATTTTGATATATAGTACTTGAATTTACATGCAATATTGACTGCGCTATTGATGTTTGAATGTTGAACTACTGCTTTTGAAAATAAATTATACCTATTAATAATAAATATTTTTATTCAACGGTTCAAACGTCAATAGACTCAATACCGCAATCAATATTGCATGTAAATTCAAGTGTTGCATATCAAAATGTAAGTTAGTCCTTTCTGAATGCAATGATCTTTATTATTTCATTGTGATAGCTTTTATGTACTATTTAAAGCACGCGTAGGAGTGTGTTTTATATGTGATAAAACACGACTACAAGTGCTTTAAATAGTACTTCAAAAACGACTCGTCTTATACGAGTTCATTGGCGAAGTAATTTTTAAAATAAACTTTGTCTAAACCGAGAAAATCGAAGCTAAAGTTTATGTAAATTAACATGATTTTTTATCACATATAAAACCACGACACACTTATGATTTTTCTTTGTGTTTTACTCCTGAATTATTAATGAGTTTTTGAAAGCTTTTATATACGTTACATGAAATGAAACAGTGTCCACTGTCCAGATTTTTTTTTTGGGGGGGGGGACACCCGGTAGCACAGACTAATGAAGCATTCAACAAATAATAAATAAAGTGGAATTAGTGTTCTCTATATAGAGCATACTAATAAAATTTTGACCATGAAATATATAGAGCATACTAATCAGTTAAATTAACTTACTGCTAGTGTTAATTTATAAAAACATATGACAAAAAATACTTCCCAAAAATATACTGAAAGAATTAAAGAAATAATTCTTCGTGGATGTGATCATGTTCTTCTAATGTTCTTCTTCTTCTCATGTAATTTTTGGAAGTCTATAACTGAGCAGGAGCGAAACCATCGGGGTGTGTGTGTGTGTGTGTGGGGGGGGGGGTGACACTCCCAGCACAGAATACTACACAGAAGACCATCTCCATTGTTTTTTTGCGTAAGCTCTATTCGCCATGATTTGTCATTCAGCATGCAAGTACCGTAAACAGAAGCAGTCCCCCCATGGAAATACTAAAAATTGCGCACGTCCAGGGGGGCGACTGCTTCTGTTTACGGTACTTGCTGAGTGACGAATCATGACGAATAACCATAGATATCTTATATACACTAGATAGCGCATCTCTCTTCGTAAAATTGAAGCCAAGAATATTCCAGCGGTTACCCCCAATTGAATAGATGGCGGCCATGTTGGTCGTTCCCACTCGCTAATAAACACTTAAAAACAACAATAACTTTCATCATTTGAATACTTTAAAAATGTATTTGGAATAGGGTTAACTTAATATTTAAGTTCCCTGCTTAAGAAATAGGAAATATACGAATCTTCTCATTTCATGGGAACGACCTGAGACTGCAATCACGGCTTCAATTTTTGAATTGCAGAATAATTAGATGAACTATCTAGTGTATATCAGATATCTATGCGAATAACGCTTACGCAAAAAGCAATGGAGATGGACTTCTGTGTAGTATTCTGTGCCCCCAGTCTCTATTAGACTGATCTCATCGGAGTATATCCATACTATTTTCTCGGGCAAATTTTAAAAAACCTGATTTACAGTTAATGAAAAGTGGGCAGAAAGATTGCATGAGAGAAAAACGCCTGCTATACCTTTATTCTATTCGCTATGTGAGCATGCATGAACGGCTTCAAAACGCGACTGAAAACGGGTTAATTAACTGCACAACATGAAGTATTTCCAGTTATAACTCCGGCAACAACAGTTTCGACTTTCGCCCGTCGGGCACGACTTCGGGCACGCACATTTCGCCACTTCCACTGAACACACGTGATCACTGTCTATATTGTACATAGTTCATATATTTCAATACATTTCAGTTTAACTTTTTTTTTCTCGTGTTACTTTAGGTTCGACTGCAAGTTACAGAAGTAGTTTCAATGCATTTATCTTCTCCCTCGTGAATAAAAGGGAGCTTTAGATTTGACTACGAGTACGACTACGAGTACGAGATTTGATCGCGTGCGAGGAAATTACCGTAGTCGTTTTCGTTTCCATTCAAATGTTGCTTTTATAACAGTAAACCAACAACTAGAGAAAAAGTTT